TACTCTATTGTATTTGAGTTTATGATTTTTTCCACTTAAGATTTTACTGTGGGAAAGTATTTTGTCGATTTGCCCATGTTGCTTGCCAATATTCTAAATTATACGTAGAATTCGCAATAAATTAAATGTATTCATTATATTATTATTATTTTTTTTTTTTTTTTTTTTTTTTTTTTTTTTTATACTCCTGCCCTATTGGCCTTACGCACTTCGACAAGAGTCCCCGAGAAATACTTTTTTGGATTAAGCATAACCATTCTACTTTAGAAATTTTTCTATATATATTAACCTAATTTTGCGTCTACAGCCGACTTTATTAGGAGTACTCGCATTACGCCTGGACCAACCGTCAATGGGTTTTCTCGCCAGAGAAGAGGGAAACTGTAGAAAACCTCTCTGAGTACAACCGGTTTATCGACAGTCGAGTTCTAATGGTGTGTACCGGACAATAATCGACGGTGCACATCATTATACCTCGACGTCAAACCTCCCGCTCAGATTGTCTCACGTGCCGGAAAAATACCAAGCCAAGTGGGCGCGAACCAAGGGTACTTATACCCTTGGTCCTTAAACGACCACCAACGCCAGGCATCTATCCGACTGAGCCAATCTGTCGGTCATTATATTATTATATTAATTTGAATTAAACCGCGAATTTTAGTGCTGCCTCTATCGAGAGAGGAGCGTATCATACACATACGTCACAAATAAAGCATGCGACCGACACCTTTGGGCTAAAATTTGCACCACCAAAGTCAAACCGCTATCCCAAATTGGGAAACAAATTCGCCCAAAACGAAAGTGAGAGATTCGCGAGCTTTTAAAGTCCAACGCACAATAGGTTCGCGAAGGTCGTTCGCGAACGAGACGCATGAGATAGACAAGGACACAAATATATCTCTGTCCTTTTCTAACTCATGCTTTGCGTTCGCGAACGACTTTCGCGAATCTATTGTGCTTAGGCCTTAACGCAACGGTTGCTCATAAAGGAGAGTCCAGAATAGGGTTTGTGAACGTCGGTAGAAGGGCGTTGGTCACGTGACCTCCTTAAGGCCTTTCTCCAATATGTTCCTAAAACTCTGCGTCTGCGTCGGTTGCTATAGCAACACATGCTAAATGCGAATGACTGCGTTGCGTTGATTTTAGCATAACCGACGCAGACGCAGTCATTCGCACACTTTTTAAAACCTATTGGAGAAAGGCCTTTAAGGCCTTTCTCAAATAGGATCCGAAAACTCTGCGAATGACTGCGATGCGTTGATTTTAGCATGTGTTTTAAAAAGGAGACGCCTTATTTTGGCCTAAATTCTAAAAGTTAGAAAAACCATTTGATAGAATTTCAAAAGTTCGAATGTTTACTTGTTTGAATTTCCAATAGTTAGAAAGTTTATTTGTTAGAATTATTAAAAGTTCGACTGTTTATATGTTAGAATTTCCAAAAGTTAGAATGTTTATTTGTTATAATTTCCAAAATTTATAATGTTTATTTGTTCGAATAGCCAAAAGTTAGAATATTTATTTGTTCGAATAGCCAAAAATTAGAATGTTTATTTGTTAGAATTTTCAAAAGTTAGAATGTTTGTATGTTAGAATTTCCAAAAGTTAGAATGTTTATTTGTTAGAATTATTAAAAGTTAGAATGTTCATATGTTAGAATTATTAAAACTTCGAATGTTTATATGCGTTAGAATTTCTAAAAGTTAGAATGTTTATTTGTTAGAATTATTAAAAGTTCGAATGTTTATTTGTTAGAATTATTAAAAGTTCGAATGTTTATTTGTTCGGATTTCCAAAAGTTAGAATGTTTATATGTTAGAATTTCCAAAAGTTCGAATGTTTCTTTGTTAGACTTTCTAAAAGTTAGAATGTTTATTTGTTAGAATTTTCAAAAGTTAGAATGTTTATTTGTTAGAATGTCCAAAAGTTAGAACGTTTATTTGTTAGATTTCCGAAGTGTTAGGGTGGAGTCCCATGACAGCGTTTTGGGTTGCGTCGTAATGGGAGAGAAAAAGACGCAAATATACGTTTGCTGCATTCTCTCTCATTACAACGCAACGCAAAACGCTGCCATGGGACTGCGGCCTTAGAATGTTCATTTGTTAGATTTTTTTTTAGCAGCGAGTTTCCTTTCTATGTTACTGTTAGGCCTTAACTTCATTTACCATTTGTCCCAACAGTGTAGAAGATTCTGCGTTCACATGTTAGATGGAGCCAGAAGTAGTATTTAAAGCAGGGAGTAAGACTAAGGAGACTGAACTGACTGTGAAGTCTCTCAAAAATGAAACCTTTTTCTGTAGGGGAACTATACTCGCAGAATGACAAAACTTATGCTCCGCGCGCATGCGCAGTACATGCGCATATTGCTCTCTCTCTTTATATCGTAAAATATAAGCAAGTGAGAGAACAAAAACTTATCAGTAGGTTATGGTTATGTTTTGACATATGATTCTTAAAATAAAATTTCAAAATTATGGTTTGTTGCATACCAGGATGCAAAACATCATATTACAATGATCGACAAACGAATAAATTAACTTATTGATAACTTTTATGTGACATTTAAAGCTGTTTATTTATAAAGTATATAATTAAAGTAAATTACAAATTCGTAAATATTATTTATTTAGGAATTGTTCAATTGTTTCCACAAAGAATAAAACACTTTGTAGTTTATATACCAAAAAAATTGATTCTGAACATTTATAAATATTTTATTATATTATTAATATATTACTTATCACTGAAAAATATACACTCTTTAGTATATATTTTTGTATGCACATTTATATTTATTAAATTAATTTTTTTTCAATTTACTAATAGTTATTATTAATAATATTTCCTGAAACGCACAACATTCACAAATATTAAACATAACCTTCTCAACTTGTAGCTTATAATGATTTTCTCAGTCGCATCTGAGTTACTGAGAAAGACAGAGACAAATATATTGCATGTGCGCATGCGCGAAAACCATAATTTTCAGTCTTACGTATAGTTTCAATGCGACGAATGGTTTCACTTCCATAGCATTAGTTCAGTCTCCTTAGTCTTACTCCCTGCATGTATCACAACAAGTGAACATAACCCTTTTGCATTCACACTAATTACACAATTATTAATTATTTACATCATATCTAGTAACAATAAATCTCTTATACTGCACTCATCATATTTAAATATAGACAACAATTATAACAATAACTAATTTGATAATATATCCTAATATAATATTATAATTATATTAATACGTTACAAATATATATATATATATATATATATATATATATATATATATATATCCAATATATATATATATAAAAATATATATATATATCCAATACCATAATATTACAATTACAACAATCAATCAGATAAAGTTTACTAATAATATCATTTTCAAATAATACATTTATGCTGCACTATTAGCAACAATATAATATTGTTGTTAATTGTTCATAACGTTCATATTATACAATTGATAATTAAGTTTCGTCGCATAATGAAAGTCTATGTGTACGTAACTTTTCGAAGCCATTTCTGTGGTCACAAGTATGGTAAACACATGTTGCATTGTCCTATGGAAAAGGACACTTGAGATATTTTTTATATTCTTTCAAGAATTTCTCGGTTTTATGACTCTAAAGAAACTAGAGATTACATTTTCTTTTGATATTCCCCTTGATTTATGACAATTCTAAGAAATCTTGATTTTCGAATACATTTTCGGAATTTGGAAACTATTAAACCGTGAAGTATTATATTTTACAATAGTCAAACTTTTTGTTTAGTCTCGTCAATATTTGTCAAAAGTCGTAAGAAAATCCTAAAATAATTAGATTATTAAAGAAATTTTATTGTTTCGCGCTTCGATAACTCGTTAATCGATATATCGAAAAGTTAACCAGCGAGATGGCAGTCGCTCGTCACAGGATTTTACGTATATTTCCGTTGGATTCACAAATAACCAATGGCTGGATTCTTTTTACTGTTACAACCGCTTGAAAGCGGGCACTGAATTTAAATTTATTATTCAGATTAAAGGCAGGATAAATAAATATACACTTATAATTAATTGGAAAAACCCCTTTCGGGTAAAAAACCAATTTTATTTAAGTTCAAATATTGTTTCTTTAAATAAACACTTCACAATTCTATTTTACATTGCTTGTCGAAGATTTGATTTAAGTTTAGTTTATTCACACTTATAAGATTCGTTGATTTAACAATGTATAATTCTTAAAAGATTTGCACTAACAAGTAGTGGTCTCTTCTCAAGTCTCGAAAATTGTCTGAAGCTTTGGGTCTCAGGCGCTCTCTTTATATACCTAACTAAAAGGGGGAGGTTTACCCTCTCCTCTTTGTTTAACCAATCACAGCGCTGATGACGTGGCATTCGACCAATAAGCGTTGAACATTCAAGGTCAAGTTATTGCGCATTTACCAAATGCCCAAAATAATGACACGTGTCAAGGTTAAATTATTACGCATTTAACAGATCTCAAGGTTAAATTATTACGCATTTAACAGATCTCAAGGTTAAATTATTACGCATCCTACAAATGACTCATTATTATCATATATTCTACTGCGCAATAAAATAACCGTCATACGAAGATTTACAATATAATTTTACAGTTTTTCTTATCAATAATAAGAAGTACAAATTCAGTATTTCATAATCATAATTTCGTTTCATTTTTAAATTATAAGTAAAATATTTAATGCATATTCCTTAATTAATCAAACACTAATAATAATAATAAACTTAAATTAATATTAATATTATATCTAATTACAGTTTTATATAATTATTTATAATAATAATTTTACAATATCTTTAAATAATACAATGATTACACGATAGAGAGAGAAAATAAAATTAAATGTCGATATTAAGGTTTTCCTATATTTTACGAATAATAATAATAATAATAATATTATTATTAATATTGTATAATGTATTAATTATATTTAAATTTGAATCTCTCAAGAGTACAATAGAAAAATTTAGTTTATTTATTAAGGATTTTAAATTCCCTGGAAAATTTACTAGGCACTGATGCCAGATGCCACAATAGGACAAAGATACTATCAGCGACAACTGGTGGCTATTTTCAACACATTGGACACTCTGCAACTTATTCGAGTCACCCCCGTGCATGAAGATAACCATGATAACCATGGAAACGTAGGAAACATAAATATAACCTCAAATTTATGATTGCCATTTATAAAAATTTTAGTTGAGGCTTTTTTCATGCTAATTCCAAACATCGACATTATTTAATACATTTTCTTAAAACTTTGTTTTTTTTATAAGTTTATTCAGTGCATTGACAATTTTACCGACAATTGCATGTCCGTGTCAAGGAAAAATGAGTATTCTATACGCTACCCGTGAAGGATGGATTGTTTGCCATCCTAAATACATTAATGAAATGTATGCAAAAGTTAATAATAGAAACAAGAATGACTTTTTCTTTTCGTTACAATTTAATAAAGACTTGTTTAATATAAATTCGAAATATTTGCGACAAAATCAGTTGAAAAGTATGAGTTTTTCAAAATTTAAGAGAAAAAAGAGGAAAAGAGCAAATTTACTTAATGACGATTTCTTAAAAGAAGTATGTCTTTCATCAATTTAATTAATTTTAATTATCCACTTTCTATTGACATATTAATAACATTTATATTTTAAAATAAAATACTGAAATATTTATAATATTTACATACATTTTTATTACAATTAGAGTATAAAATATTCTTTTACAGTAAGAATATAATAGAAAAAAATAAATTTAATAAACTATATTTCTATTTACAAAAAAAGACTTAGGGACAATTTTATTTTTGCTTATTTTAGGTAAAACATGTAAAAGAAATGTTTTCGAATTTGATGAATTCTTCGGATTCGAAGAAGATATTTTCAAAACCTGTTGATTTAGATAATAATGAAGCTGCACTCGCGATGTCACGACAATTATATCAAAGTAATCAAAAATTATTTAATGAATCTTTTATTGAAGGTTCTTACAATGGTGAAGAATCAATAATTTCTGTAATTGAAAACGAAGAATTTGTGTTACCAAAAAATTGTGAATATTTTTGCTTCGATGTTCGTCAGTTAAGTCAAAAACTACAATTTAAAAATCAGTTTGATTTTATTCTCATGGATCCTCCATGGTGGAATAAATCTATTCGAAGAAAGAAAACAAAATTTATAGAATCTAGGTAAATAAATTTTTAAAATTAATTTTTTGTGATAAAATAAAAATAATTGAATATACAATACTTTAATACTAGCTACAAAATGATGTATAATGAAGAGGTGGCTAAGTTACAAATTGGAAAGTTAATAAGCAAAAAAGGAATTATTGCAGTTTGGTGTACAAATTCAGCCAGTAATTTGCGTTGTATTTTAGATGAAATGTTTCCTTCATGGGGCGTAAAATTCATAGCGAAATGGTATTGGATAAAAGTAAGTTTAATTTGTTTGTTCTGTCTTCATTATTTCAGTTAGCAGTGAATTAATAAGTATTTGAATGTTTGTGTATAAATGATATTATCGATAGATAAAATAAATTATTATTAAGTTCTTCTTTCGAACATGTTTTTCTGTTTCTTAAAGGTTACAATGTCAGGCGAAACTGTTTGTGATTTCAGTGAAACGCACGGTAAACAGCCTTATGAATTATTAATAATCGGGGCAAGCGAATCAAATTCAGAAATTCCCATGGAAAAATTGATTGTCAGTGTTCCAAGTGCAATGAATTCTCACAAACCTCCTCTTGCAGGTAAAAATTCGAAAAATGTTTCATAATAATATTACACTTGTTGATTAAACTACAAAAAATTCTGAATTGAAAATCAATTGGTTTATAAAATAATTTTTATTTATATGATTTTATTTTATTGATTATATTACTTATTGTAATTATAACTTTAAGGACATCCAGGAAAAAAGTGATATTGGTCTCTTTTTTGTCTTTTGCATTATAATTTCTATAAATAATTGTTAAAAAAATTGTTTAAACATGACAAAAAAGTGGATTCGTAAATTGTTTTTCATTTTCAAAAGATTTTTATTCTTATATACTTCGGGTTCAGATAGATAGGTAGAACTACTTCGAAAATGTGACCAAGAATAGTATGTTTAATAAATGTTTGAAGATAGTTTTTATTCTGCTTTAAAAATGGAATTCACTTTCTTCAAACACATTTGACGGGTTCCACGACAAGCGACCCAGGTTAAATTTTTTTAAACAAATGTAAGATTGGAGGGGGTAAAAATTTTCAACTTTTGTTTAACATGGGATACTTTGATGACCTGTATTTTCTTTAAAACGAAACAAAAAAAATGTGTAATATATCGATTTTTAGGTTTTTTCACTGGCTTTTCAATTATAAAAATCATTTTAAGAAAAAAAAATTTTTTAACCTTCAAAAATGGAAAACAAAAATAAAAATGTATTTTTTATAAAAAAGGACAGTTTTTTTTTTATTTTTATCAAAAAGTTCAGGTAATTTCCTAAAAATAATGTATAGGTCAAAAAGTGGGACAAAAACTTTTAGGTAGTCAAATTTAACGATCATTTCTGCGGGTACGCCTTTGACGCGCCATTATAGTTTTACGTTGCCTTCTGTCTCAATCTCAATACAATTAATTAAAAAAATGTTACCTATTAATTGTGTTTCGAACGCTCTCTGCATTTTACAGGGTTGAGACTGTCATTATTTTAATGCCTGCATTACGCTTTATTTTAAATTTTAAAAAAAATATTAATTTTTGAAAAGAATTATGTTATATAAGATTAGAAAAAAAATTAAAGTTTTATTATATAAATTTGCTAAAGCCAAAAATGAAAAATTTTATTAGACTAGTTAATTAATCATTGTAAATATTATTTATAAAATCATTGTAATTAAAAAATTTATGTACTGTTGTTTTTCTAATTTTTAAATTTAAGTTTGGTTAAGTGTCTGTAGAGTAGGGTGGTCCAAAAAAAGTAAAATCGGAATTTTAATTCTCTCACCCCCTAGGATTGTTCTATGTGGAGAAAAAAATACCTCTATTTTTTTTTAAATAAAAAAATATTTAGAGGTCGCTCAAAGCGCTCAAAGTTTCCCATGTAAAATGCATGGGGAAAAAACACTTTTTCGTAGAATTGGTATAGAATCCTTGAAAATCAATATTTTTTATTCAGCAAACTCTGTTTCTCTTAAGAAGACTTCAAAGAATAGTGTTAAATTATTTATTTAATCATTTTTTTAAATTAACTATTTTTTATAGTACCCCAAAAAAACCCCATAAATTTCAAAATTACAAAAAAACCTTAAAAAATATTTTTTATTATTTTTATCAAAGTTTTTTCCTAGATTATGAATAAATAACACAAATATTGATTTTTAAACATTATTCCATGTAATTGCTAATTTGTTTAAACAAATTATTATTGTTTATTTACAACTTTTTATCTAATTGAGCTAAAGAGTTTCGATTTTTTCTCAACTTTGCAACTTTTCAGGCCGAATGTAACCAGTCACTATCAACTAACTAAGAATATTAATTTTACCAATTGTTAAAACAAATTACTATTGTTTAATTTTATCTTTTTATCAAAATGAGCTACAGAGTTGCAACTTTTTTTTAATTGTACATTTTATTTTTTTTGTGAGGTAATAATTAATGTAAGACTTAATTATCGAGTAAAAATTGTGAACAATAAATTCATTACTATAAAAATGATAAGTACAAAAATTTTTATTTACGTCATTGAAATTACTACTGCGATAGCTTCAAATTTAAAATAACAATTTGTTTAAACAATTGGTAAAATTGTAATTCTTAGATTGTTGTTAGTAACTAGTTACATTTGGCTTGGAAAAATACAAAATTAAAAAAAAAATTGCGACTCTGGAGCTCAATTTGATAAAAAGATAAAATTGAACAATAACAATTTGTTTAAACAATTGGTAAAATTAATATTCTTAGTTAGTTGATAGTGACTGGTTACATTCGGCCTGAAAAGTTGCAAAATTGAGAAAAAATCGAAACTCTTTAGCTCAATTAGATAAAAAGTTGTAAATAAACAATAATAATTTGTTTAAACAAATTAGCAATTATATGGAATAATGTTTAAAAATCAATATTTGTGTTATGTATTTATAATCTAGGAAAAAACTTTGATAAAAATAATAAAAAATATTTTTTAACGATTCTTTTGTAATTTTGAAAATTATGGGGTTTTTTGGGGGCATTATAAAAAATAGTTAATTTAAAAAATTATTAAATAAACAATTTAGCACTATTCTCTGAAGTCTTCTGAAGAGAAACAGAGTTTGCTGGATGAAAAATATTGATTTTCAAGGATTCTATACCAATTCTACGAAAAAGTGTTTTTTCCCCATGCATTTTACATGGGAAACCTCCAGCGCTTTCAGCGACCTCTAAATATTTTTTTATTTAAAAAAAAATAAGGGTATTTTTTTCCATATAGAACATTCCTAGGGGGTGAGAGCATTAAAATTCCGATTTTATTTTTTTCCCATGTATTTTTGGACCGCCCTAGTACGGAACCCTCGGTTTTAGTACGAGTTCTACTCGCACTTGTCCGGTTTTTATTTTTTTTTTTTATTAAAAAGTAGCTACTTTTTAAATTATTTAATATTAAGATAAATGATGTGAACTGTATTAATAGTTATTTATTATTCTCTTTTGGAAAATACTCGAACTCTGTTGAAGAGGAAAATGTTTTTTAATTGAAGTCGTCCATCAAGAGTAGGTATAACTGCATGATATCCCAATGTTCCCTTAATAGTCACTGCATTATCGAATCTTTGTTTTAATACTTTAGCAGTTGCTTCATACTCTTTTTTGGCACAAAAGAAAATTTCGGTTTCCTTGCAATAGTTTTTTGCCCAATGAAATAATGCTTGAGGATCTAAAATGCGATTTTCATTGGAACATTGAAGGCTGTATCTCGCTGCATTTCTCTTAATATTTCCCCCAATTAATACCGTCACATGCTCCTTTACCGTGAGCAGTGGGGTGAAAATGACACTCAGCTTCAATTTCAAAATCGGTCTTATGAGCTAATATATTAGAGAAATTACTCTTATTTTTAAAATGCTGACCAGCTCCGTCAGTAAAATAGTAGACTTTTTTGGGTCGAGAAATATTTTCTTCAATATATTTCAATATCATCGTCTGATGCTGAAATGCTGCAGCGGTATCATGATTCAAATTATCTGAAATGATGGTCATGCTTTTATGCTGGATTCCTGTATCATTCAGATAATAAAATACTACTGTAAAAATTTTAGCCTGGTCATTGTTCCCATGAAATCCCTGGGAGGAATTTTGGAGAACAAACTTGTAATTTTCTGCGAAATCAAATGTAATCAAAAATTCATCACATTTCAAATTTTCCTTTAAATTTTTGAAAAACAATGCTTGCTCTTTACTAATAAAATCGTGCGGTCTCAATTTCAGCAATTCATTATAAAATTCATCAACGAAGTCATCAGTGTTCAAACACAAAGTGTGAGTTCCACTACTGCCTGCTAGAACACAGTATTTTGGTCGGAATTCTACAAATTTTGACAAGCCTATTTTAACATCCGGATATTTGGTTTTAAGTATAGAATACAATTCATTTAAATTGCAAGGAACCAATCTCTTTTGCATGTGAATTTTCTGATCATTTATTTTTACTGACACATAGTCATTTTTCCCGGCATTAACCGACTTACTTTGTCAGACTCATAGAATTTAAGTACGAGAGATTTTGTATCAGGGTTCAAAGACTTTCCTTTTTTTGAATTTGGCAAACCTAAAATCCCTCGCTCTTTAACTACACTTTTCACATTTCTAGCTATTCTTTCAGATATTCCAAATTCGGACATTAATTTATTGCGACTCCAAGATTATGGAGTTAGAGTGAGAAGTTGAAATTTTTCAACTTTAATAGCAAACTTTTCGAAACCCGACGTACAGTAACACGTCCCGAGTCGAACTTTTAGACCTGCTTACCTCCTTGTAAGTATAATTTAACCCTAACCTGCACCTAACAAACCCTTGGTGTTTTTTTCCTCCTGCGTAAGGGGCCGTACACATAATACGTCACGCGTCTAGGGGGAGGGAGGGGGTCTGAGAATTGTGACTAAGTGTGACATGGGGGAGGGGGGGGTGAACTCATGTGTTACGTCACAATCTTTTAAATTCAAAGATTATAAGAAATTATATGTGACAATGTCACTTTTTCTAAATAAAACAAGTTAAAAATGCTTTAAACTATTTAATATCTATTATGTACCTGTTTAACATCTATTCGCATATTATTTATAATATGATGATAAATAATATATTCTCTTAATTTGAATCAGTTAAAAATCATGGTTTTAACTGACAATCAGTAGTGACTGACTTTTTGCTTCTGAATCAGTTAAAAATAACTGAAAAATTATCCACAAAACACCGAAATTTTTCTAAATATTGTATATTAAAGATTTGCTTGCATAATTCGAAAAATTTACTTGCAAAGTTTATTTTAAAATTGTGTAAAGATTTAAATTTCTCACTCCAATAAATGTCTATCGTCAAATTTTCTTAAAAATATAGCTTGAAACTTTCCTGAACATTTGAATTGCATTTTCGACTATACTTTCGTGAAAATTTTCCTGAAAATTTAACTTAAATTTTCAGGAAAGTTTCGCGCTAAGCATTTATTGAAGTGGGATATTTAAATCTTTACACAATTTTCACTAAACTTTGCATTTAAATATTTCAAAGCTTAATTGCGAGTAAATCTTTAGTAAATTTTTAGGAAAGTTTCGGTGCTATGTAGGTAGTTAAACGTGACTAATTGAATCAATCAAAAACAATTGTATTGAAACATCAGTTATTTTCAACTAATTGTCAGAAAAAAAATATTACTATTTGAATTAGTGACTGACTTTTTGCTTCTAAATCAGGTATTTTTAACTGCGATTAAATAATTTAGAGTGTAAGATATAATATACATTGTCCAATGTATAAAATTTACAGTGAAATTTACGTGTGTGACGTGACGTAGGGGGGAGGGGGGGTTCAAGATTTGTGACGAAGTGTGACATAGGGGGAGGGAGGGGTTAAAAAGGGTCCAAAATCGCGTGACGTATTATGTGTACGGCCCCTTAGGTTCCGTAGCATAGTGGTTAGGGCGTTAGTTTCGTAGTCCGTAGTTCGTAGGTCGTAGGTTCAAGTCTCGCGTGCGTTAGATTTTATTTATTTCGTAGGTTTGCGTTTATTCCGATTTTTCTGTATTGTATAGGTATAAGTATGCAATTTAATGATTATATACACCGTTAAATAATTTAATTACCAAATATTAAATTAAATTTTTTTTTATATATAAATGGATATGTATTAATCCTGACATATATACTAACATTATTTATGAATTCGCTATTGGTCACGATTAAATTAGAAAAAAAGTAAAAATCATTAAATAATAATGCCATTTATTAATAATTAAAGTTATTATAAAAATTAGTTAAAAATGATCTCAAATATGCTATGAGCAGTTTTTCCAGGGTTTTTGGAGAGGAAAGAATTCTGTAAGTAAGGGTCAAGCAGTATTTAATAAGGTTCTAGGAACACCTGCTTTCCCCCTTTTACCATCTAAATTTGTCGCTAACCAGGGGTTTGCAGGAGGTAATCAGAGTTAACTTGCAATGCAAATAAACTCTGCTTTCATCCTATTACATCCTTACAAACCCTCAGTTTTAAGGAGGTAAGCAGGTCTAAAAGTTCGACTCGGGCGTACCCCTCTTGTGCTTTTCTTTATTTAATTCATTAAAACATCTGTCCTTCCAAGTGTCTGAATTATTTTTTTCCATTTTAACAATTGCACTTTAAATTTTTTAAATAAAACAAACAACTTAAATTGGAAAGGAGAAAAGCCCTGAAAAGGTCTGATTGTTAAAAATTATGCAGAAAGTTTTTTTGAAAAAACTTATCTGCACAAAAATTATAATTTTAAAAAAGCTCCAAAAATATTAATAAATCAAATAAATGAAACTTGTAAAGGAAAAAAGCTCTGAACAGTGCTGGTTGGAAAAAATAATGTTGAAAGTATCTTTTAAGAAACTTGTCCACACCAAAAATTACAATTTTAAAAAAGTTCTAAAGAGATCTGATTATACCAAATAATACTCTAAAGAATCGTCTCTACACAAATATTATTATAAGCAATTTTTAATATCAAATGCGAAAATCAAGGATTTGTAAAAAAAAGTCATGTGAGTTCTCTATACTTATAGTAGTCATGTATAATTTCATTAGTGAGCAACTTTTGAGTCGCCACCTGGCAGACGCGCAGAGAACTAACCATGCATTTGTTGGATTCAATAATCGGCTCTAAAGGCGTACCGCAGAAATGATCGTTTAATTTGTCCACTTAAAAATTTTTGTCCCACTTTTTGACCTATACATTATTTTTAGGAAATTACCTGAACTTTTTGAAAAAAATAAAAAAAACTGTCCTTTTTATAAAAAAATACATTTTTATTTTTGTTTTCCATTTTTAAAAGGTTAAAAAAATTTTGTTTCTTAAAATGATTTTTATAATTGAAAAGCCAGTGAAAAAACCTAAAAATCGATGTATCCCACATTTTTTTTTGTTTCGTTTTAAAGAAAATACAGGTCATCAAAGTATGCCATGTTAAACAAAAGTTGAAAACTTTTACCCCCTCCAAATCTTACATTTGTTTAAATAAATTAGTCAAATTTGGTATTTGAACTTGTATCATGAAGGACTAAAGTTTAAAAAGAATTTTAACCTGATCCCAGATATTCCAAAATTTAATCTGGGTCGCTTGACGTGGAACTTGTCATTTATATCATGTCCTTTTCTTTTTTTTAAATTAAAATTACAAGTTTATTTATACTTTTAATTTCTAAAGTAAAAAATTAAAAATTTTAATTACAGATGAAAATTAAAACATTAATTTTTAGAAATCATCGCTCCATATTTAAAGGAAAATCCGAAGTGCCTAGAAATTTTTGCAAGATATTTGCTGCCCAATTGGACGAGTTTTGGTTATGAGGCTTTAAAATTTCAACACATCTCCTTTTTTACACGTTCGTGAAGGAATCAAAGAAGCAAATAAAATGATTTCAGGTCCAAGAATAGAATTTTTATTACCGTAAGTGAAACAACTTTTAATTTCTTTTTTCTTTTTTTTAATAAATTAGATTACAATATCAATATTACTGCGTGAAGAGAAAAATTTTAATATTTAGTTATCTTTTGGCATACTATACTGACACTTGTTGCATTTTTTTATAAATTTTTACTTTTATCTATTTTTCTGAATTTCCATTTTTTATACATGAACGATATCCGTGTGGATTCATTGATTGCCACCTCCAAAAATCTTCACCTAAATTAAAGAACAAAATGCCAAAAAAGAATGTGATATCGAAAATTCTCTGAATTTTTTAAAAAAGCATAACAAAAATGATTAAATTAAATTCACGTTTCAGGTATAAAAGCTGAATATATAAATAGGTGAAACCACTTACACATTTGTTCAACATTGAACTTTGCTTTCCAACCAAGTTCCTCTTCGGCTAATGTTGTATCTGCAACCATTGATGTAATGTCTCCTTCTCGCCTCTCTTTAATGACATAAGGCACTGATGTTCCTGTTACTTTTTCAAAGATTTTTACTAATTTAAGAACTGAAACTCCTTTACCCGTTCCTAAATTGTATATCCTTAATCTCATGTGTTTCTTATATAGAGCCGTCAAAGCAGCCACATGTCCCGTTGCTAAATCCATAACGTGAATATAATCGCGAATACCTTAAGAAAGACTTAAATTAGAATTTTTTCAGATATTAATTTGTATTTCATTTGGCATTTTTTGCATATTGAAAATAATAATTCCAAATTTGTACCTGTTCCATCTTCAGTAGGATAATCACCACCAAAAATTACAAGTTCAGGCTTAAGACCTAATGCAACTTGTGATATATAAGGCATTAAATTTGTATACTTTTTTGTGGGATCTTCACCTATTAAACCACTTGAATGTGCACCCACTGGATTAAAATATCTCAGCGAAATTATATTCCAACTCTAAAACGGAAAAAAATTTCTTGCATTAAATTAAATATTATTATTATATAGATGAAAAAAATCATTCTTTTCGAGCTAAATAAAAAGGGAGAATATAGTTGATTTTCTTTTACGTTTCGACGATAACTATCGTCCTCATCAGAAACTAAAACTTTATCAAATGTACTTCTTGTTAATATGTTAAATACAAGTGAACCATAACACAATAAAAATAGAGAATAAATGAGAAAATGAAAAAAAATAAATAAAATTTTACAAGTATCGAAAAATGTACAGTCGACGAAAACAGAAGTTATATTAACCCTACAAGCAGAAGATAGGACACAAATCAAAATGAGGAAAGATAGGATAATAGTTATCGTCGAAACATAAAGAGAAAATCAACTGTGTTCTCCCTTTTCACCTATATAATTATTGATCGAGTGATAAATTCGTCATATAATAATAATTATCATAATTATGCATTCTCTTTTAAAGAATTCAATTTTTTTACTTTCTCAGCTCTTGTTATGTCGTTTAGCATTTCTTCGATAAAATATTTTGTTCGACCGTAAACGTTTGTTATGTTTCCAGTTGGATGATCTTCTGTTATAGGGAGTCTCTTTGGTTCACCATAAACTGTACACGAACTACTGAAAACTAATTGAAAACATCCAGCAACTTTCATTACCTAAACAAATAAATTAAATTCTTAAAAAATTGAATTATGATTTTATAAGGAATATTGCAATTAAATGAATATTAATGATATCATTTATTTACGTACATTTCTTACCAATTCCCAGACTGCACAAAAAGTTCGAAGAACCTTCCTGGAATATTCCTCTGGCATATTCGAAACCTTCTAAAAAATATTCCAGGAAGGTTCACGGAAGTAGGTAAATGTCCGCGAATATAGAATATTCCCTATATAGGTAAGTTCAAACAATATTCATAAGAAATATTTTATTAACATACTCAGCAAGAAGTAAGGAATTGAGAAGAATTGAACATTTTTAACTTTTTACAGAAAATGTTAAATTATTATCAATTTTTTTGAATTCCGTTTCTGTCCAATTCCTATGTATTCCTTTTTGAGGCAAAGATTTCTTGAAAGTGAATTCCAATCAATTCCATTTTAATATTTCTTTAATTTTTAAATTTTTGTGAATTCCGAAATACTGTGTGACACTCGGTAAGTTTAATTTCTGCCTATTGCGTTTTAATATTTTGTAATTTTTTAATTCCTTTGAAGTTTGCAACACATTAAGATAAGTACTTCTAAAATTCTATTTCGTTTTAATATTTTGTATTTTTTTAATTCCTTTGAAGTTTGCAACACTTTGAGATAAGTACTTCTAAAATTCGGTAGTCATAGTACAGTTTAAACAGCTAAGCGGACAAGCTGTTTGTCTCCGACAATGAAACTTGAGGGTTCAAATCTTCTGATCGACAAATTTTTTTTCTGCTTAAAATATTAAAACGGTATTCAAAAGAATAAACTTAGCTTCTTTTCGGCTTCTCCAAATGAAAATAAAAAGAATTAGTCAGAAACGGAATTCAAAAGAATTAAAAATTTCGAATTCTTATTAATTTCTTACTTTTTACTGGGTACCTGAATAGTATTCAGGGAATATTGAAAACCTATACTTAAGGAATATTCACTATCAATGCTTACAAAATTTGTTAATATAACTTACAGAGAATATTAAAAATAAAAATTCTTTTAATATTAAGCTTAGAAGAACACACCTCTTTTTTAGATCATTTTTCAATGCTCAAACAATTTTGAAATGATCATCTGATTAACCTAAGGATATTTTTAAAATATAGTTTAAACTCTCTAAAATATGTCTGTATACTATAAAACCCTTATACGAAATATTAAACAATAGATAAAAATCTTTTCGTAGAAAAACGTAGGGTCAGAATGTGTTCTCCGAGGGTTCATTGAGAATATTATTAAATTGTTTCTAGAAATCATTTACAAATATTACTTGAGAGTTTTTTGACAGTGATTCATATTTATTAAAATAGTTGATTAAATGTTTTGTAATAATCTGAGGCTTTTTACTGTAATTACTTAATACTGTAATTTGTAATTGAAAAATTATATTAAAAAGTACAATATTTTTTCTCTGTTTTAAATTAGAATTAATATAAATTATGATTTTTAATATGTAATTCCTTACCAATTTTTGAAAAATTATTTTCTAATTCTAATTCGAAATGGCGAAATTGTCAAAAGTGTTGTTTAGAAATTTGAAACAACCATGAGTAGTATACCTTACTTTTTCAATTTGACATTTTTTACTTTTGTTTGTGCAACGCGGGGAGCCAAAGTTTTTTTCTAGTTCCGTTATACACTTTTACGAACTTGTTCTTAAGGAAATTCTGAGGAAATTGTGTAATATTTCCAAATATTAGGTCTTAGGTTTTGAAGGTACACACCTCAGGAATATTTACCAGCAAAGACTGATGAATTTGCAAAGCGTTTTTATTAAACAAATATTAATTCTCAGAATGGGCCTGTAGGACAAACCTGCCATAGGATATTTTCATTGTATCAGAGTTTCAAGAAAATTATTATTAATTAGAATCTTTTTTTCATTAAAATATTTACTTTCAATGAAAAATAATTATCTTCCAATGAGAATTAGACCCTTTAATATTGTTTCCCTGATAATTTCAGACATTTTTGTTTTGTTATTAAAAAAATTATTTATTTAATTAAAATTCAATCCTGTATTATTATTTACATAATTACAACTATTGTTCACATAATTCTTTATATGTTTGTTGTTATTGTAGATTATACAAATACAATATTATAGATAAAAAATCTAACTGGCCGGTTTGCCCCATGGGGGTGGCCGGTTTACCCCAGGGGTGGGGCAAACCGTCCAGTTTGCAAAATTTTTCAAAGTTAACACAGCAACTAAACAATAAAAGAGACCCGTGAAGCTACCCAGTAAAAAAAAAAGTATTCAGAATAGAGAAAAAGTATTGGTGGAGACGTTCGGTGAATGCGTTTTCGCGACAAAACCGTATTGGTGGGTTACGGTGAATACATTTTGCTTACCGTGAATACTTTTTTTTTTAAACTTTCGATTTAAAGATTTCTAAGCAAAGTTGAGAATATTTATAAAGAGCGTAAGTGACCTGAAGTATAAAAATGACTATTGCGAGAAGGAAATAAGAAATTTTGAGAAAAAACGAAAAATTAAATGTGACAAACAGATTGTCAAATGTTGATCAATTACCATATGCTTTTCTGTGCCTACAACGTACGATGATTAAAAGGAACTTTGACGTTACCGGCGGAACTTACTGTTTCACATACATTTACTTGGATTTCTCAAGTTTCTGTCGGTATCGTCAATGTTCCTTTTCATCATCATACGTTGTAGGTTTGTCACATTTAATTTTTCATTTTTTCTCAAAATTTCTTATTTCCTTCTCGCAATCGTCATTTTTATACTTCAGGTCACTTACGCTCTTTATAAATATTCTCAACTTTGCTTATGAATCTTTAAAACGAGAGTTTAAAAAAAATGTATTCACGGTAAGCAAAATGTATTCACCGTAACCCACCAATACGGTTTTGTCGCGAAAACGCATTCACCGAACGTCTCCACCAATACTTTTTCTCTATTCTGAATACTTTTTTTTTACTGGGTATCGGACCGACAGCGGCCATAAAAAATGAGATCAGTTTATTCATTTAGTCACAAGAGTAAAAAAAACCGTTAGTATGGCCGGTTTGCCTTACTCTCCTCTATAAAACCGATAATTATCATGATATTTGATTTGATAAATTATATTTTCTATAGTCAATGAATTTATCTCTTCAACAATATTCTATATTCGCGGACATTTACCTACTTCCGTGAATTTCTGGAATATTTTTTGGAAGGTTCCGAATATTCTAGGAAGGTTCTTGGAATCTTTTGTGCTGCCTGAGAAGAAATATATACATAGCATAAAGTACTTATTAATTAATAAAATAATAAATTGTTTATCAGATTACACTAATAATATTATACCTCCAGTAAATTGATAGCACCAATTATATTATTTCGATAATAGTGTAATGGAATTTCCATAGATTCACCTACAGCTTTTATGGCTGCAAAGTGAATAACGCAATCGATTTTTTGCTGAAAAATAATATGTTTTCATTATTGATCATCACTTTGTTTCTCTTTAATCCTTTAACGCCCGACTTATTACGAATCTGATGTGAGTTTTGGAAAATACAAAATGGATTAAGCTTAGCTCATGAGAATGACTACTCGAGGGTTTTTTACATGAAGTAATATCGTTAACCCCTCACTATAAAAAGAAGTCTGTTTTAATGCATTTAGCCTTCAAATTTTTATGCACTTTAAAGTGCATAAAACAGTGAAATACATTACATTTGTGACCAAAACGCATGAGGGTAATGCACTTCAAAGTGTGTTCAGATCTGGGACATCATTTATGCACTTGAAGTGCATTCCAGTAACACACTTCTTTTTACAGTGCTTATTAGTGTAGTCAAAATAAGCTTTTCGTGCCACAAATGTGCAAAAAAAAATTTTTTTTAATTACTTGATAATATTATATTTTATGTTTTTGGGGTCGCTGAATCCGAATATTTGATCAAAATTTAAAAATTCAAAATGTCGGCTCCAAAATGGCGGCTTAAAAATTTAAAAACTTCCGTATTTGACTAAAAATACTCACTTGGGGGGTTTTTGGGGTCGCTGATTTCGAATATCTGGTTAAAAATTTAAAATTCAAAATGGCGACCGAAAAAATGTTAAACTTTCCGGATTTGGCTAAAAATGCGCATTTGGGGGTTTTTGGAGTCACTGAATTAGAATATTTAGATAAAGTTTTATAATTCGAAATAGCGACTTCAAGATGTCAACTAAAAATTTAAAATTGAAGGAAATGAATTTATATCATTCGGTGATTAAATATTAAATTTGAAGAAGTTAACAATTTTCCCGAATCAATCTACACAAATAAATTGGGGCGGTTCAAATACTACACATTTAAACTGTGCACTGTTAAAACTCTACACGGTAAACTGTGCAATGTTAAATTCTGCACTGTTAAAACTCTCCACAATTAAATATCTAAACTGTACAAAATTAAATTCACCACTGTTCAAACTCTACACATGTTTATTGAATAAATAAAAATTAATAATTTTAAACCTTACACAGTTAAATTCTTTACCGTTAAACTCCACACGTGTTTAATTAATAATAGAAAAATATAATTATTAAATTCTACGCAGTTAAGTTACACATAGTTAAATTCTACACGCTTTTATCAAGTAAAAAGAAAATTAATTTCGTTAAATTCTCCACATTTAAATTAAACACTGATAAATTCTTCACATATTTATTGAATAAATAGAAAATTGATTTTTTAAACTCTACACAGTTAAATTACTCACCGTTAAACCCTGCACACGTTTAATATATTTAAAAAAATTAATTATGTTAGAATTCTATACAGTTACATTGCACACTGTTAAACTCTACACTAATTTATTTAGTAATAAAAAATAAATTTCATTAAATTCTACAAATTTAAATTAAACACTGTTAAATTCTGCACACAGCAATTAAGAAAAAGAAAATTAATTTTGTTAAATTCTCTACATGTAAATTGAAAACCGTCAAACCCTACACAATTTTTTTTTATTGATAATTATATTATTATAAAATCCTACACAGTTAAATTCTACAATTCATGATTATACACATTTTATTAGCCCAGTTAAATTCTACACTGTTTAAACCTTACACAAATTAATTGAGTAAATAAAAATTATTATTTTTAAATCTTACACAATTAAACTCTTCACCGTTACACACTGCACAACTTATTCAGTAAAAAAAAATAAATTTGGTTAAATTCTTCACATTTAAAATGAACACAGTTAAATCCTACACATAGAAATTAAAAAAATAAATTAAATTTCATTAAATTCTCCAAATTTAAATTAAACATTGTCAAAACCTGCACACAGCAATTAAAAAGAAATAAAATTTATTTTGTTGAATTCCCCACATGTAAATTGAAAACCGTCAAACCCTACACAATTTTTTTTTATTGATAATTATTTTATTATAAAATCCTACACAGTTTGACGGTTTTCAATTTACATGTGGGGAATTCAACAAAATTAATTTTATTTCTTTTTAATTGCTGTGTGCAGGATTTGACAATGTTTAATTTAAATTTGGAGAATTTAATGAAATTTAATTTATTTTTTTAATTTCTATGTGTAGGATTTAACTGTGTTCATTTTAAATGTGAAGAATTTAACCAAATTTATTTTTTTTTACTGAATAAGTGTGTGCAGTGTGTAACGGTGAAGAGTTTAATTGTGTAAGATTTAAAAATAATAATTTTTATTTAGGGGCCGTACACATAATACGTCACGCGATTTTGGACCCTTTTTAACCCCTCCCTCCCCCTATGTCACACTTCGTCACAAATCTTGAACCCCCCCTCCCCCCTACGTCACGTCACACACGTAAATTTCACTGTAAATTTTATACATTGGACAATGTATATTATATCTTACACTCTAAATTATTTAATCGCAGTTAAAAATACCTGATTTAGAAGCAAAAAGTCAGTCACTAATTCAAATAGTAATATTTTTTTTCTGACAATTAGTTGAAAATAACTGATGTTTCAATACAATTGTTTTTGATTGATTCAATTAGTCACGTTTAACTACCTACATAGCACCGAAACTTTCCTAAAAATTTACTAAAGATTTACTCGCAATTAAGCTTTGAAATATTTAAATGCAAAGTTTAGTGAAAATTGTGTAAAGATTTAAATATCCCACTTCAATAAATGCTTAGCGCGAAACTTTCCTGAAAATTTAAGTTAAATTTTCAGGAAAATTTTCACGAAAGTATAGTCGAAAATGCAATTCAAATGTTCAGGAAAGTTTCAAGCTATATTTTTAAGAAAATTTGACGATAGACATTTATTGGAGTGAGAAATTTAAATCTTTACACAATTTTAAAATAAACTTTGCAAGTAAATTTTTCGAATTATGCAAGCAAATCTTTAATATACAATATTTAGAAAAATTTCGGTGTTTTGTGGATAATTTTTCAGTTATTTTTAACTGATTCAGAAGCAAAAAGTCAGTCACTACTGATTGTCAGTTAAAACCATGATTTTTAACTGATTCAAATTAAGAGAATATATTATTTATCATCATATTATAAATAATATGCGAATAGATGTTAAACAGGTACATAATAGATATTAAATAGTTTAAAGCATTTTTAACTTGTTTTATTTAGAAAAAGTGACATTGTCACATATAATTTCTTATAATCTTTGAATTTAAAAGATTGTGACGTAACACATGAGTTCACCCCCCCCTCCCCCATGTCACACTTAGTCACAATTCTCAGACCCCCTCCCTCCCCCTAGACGCGTGACGTATTATGTGTACGGCCCCTTACTCAATTAATTTGTGTAAGGTTTAAACAGTGTAGAATTTAACTGGGTTAATAAAATGTGTATAATCATGAATTGTAGAATTTAACTGTGTAGGATTTTATAATAAAATAATTATCAATAAAAAAAATTGTGTAGGGTTTGACGGTTTTCAATTTACATGTGGAGAATTTAACAAAATCAATTTTCTTTTTCTTAATTGCTGTGTGCAGAATTTAACAGTGTTTAATTTAAATTTGTAGAATTTAATGAAATTTATTTTTTTTACTAAATAAATTAGTGTAGAGTTTAACAGTGTGCAATGTAACTGTATAGAATTCTAACATAATTAATTTTTTTAAATATATGAAACGTGTGCAGGGTTTAACGGTGAGTAATTTAACTGTGTAGAGTTTAAAAAATCAATTTTCTATTTATTCAATAAATATGTGAAGAATTTATCAGTGTTTAATTTAAATGTGGAGAATTTAACGAAATTAATTTTCTTTTTACTTGATAAAAGCGTGTAGAATTTAACTATGTGTAACTTAACTGCGTAGAATTTAATAATTATATTTTTCTATTATTAATTAAACACGTGTGGAGTTTAACGGTAAAGAATTTAACTGTGTAAGGTTTAAAATTATTAATTTTTATTTATTCAATAAACATGTGTAGAGTTTGAACAGTGGTGAATTTAATTTTGTACAGTTTAGAAATTTAATTGTGGAGAGTTTTAACAGTGTAGAATTTAACATTGCACAGTTTACCGTGTAGAGTTTTAACAGTGCACAGTTTAAATGTGTAGTATTTGAACCGCCCCAAATAAATTAAATATCTTAAATAAATCTCGATAAGTTCATGGGCTTTAATGTATCGATAGCACAGCTGCCCTAATACAGAAACCTGCTTAATTTGAAAAATATTTTCGAAATTAATTAATAATTTCAAAATTATCAAAGAACTCAGAAAAAACGGTAGCATGGTGGGATACGAGCCCACGACCTTTCTATTGCCGGTAGACTGCTTATCGAGATTTATTTAAGGTATTTAATTTATTTGTGTAGATTGATTCGGGAAAATTGTTAACTTCTTCAAATTTAATATTTAATCACCGAATGATAAATTTAATCACCGATGATAAATTCACTTTCTTCAATTATAATTGCCTATGAATTGTAAAATTAGGCTTACCATCTTTAAGAACCTTCCTACATTATCATTAAAATAATGTAGGAAGGGATAGTATATTTCAAGGAACTCGGAGAGTCTCGGGGTGCATGTAGCTCAATGGTCAGAGCAGTCTACCGGCAATAGAAAGGTCGTGGGCTCGTATCCCACCATGCTACCGTTTTTTCTGAGTTCTTTGATAATTTTGAAATTATTAATTAATTTCGAAAATATTTTTCAAATTAAGCAGGTTTCTGTATTAGGGCAGCTGTGCTGTCGATACATTGAAGCCCATGAGCTTATCGAGATTTATTTAAGATATTTAATTTATTTGTGTAGATTGATTCGGGAAAATTGTTAACTTCTTCAAATTTAATAAAAATTTAAAAGTTTACAATTTAACGTTATTTAAATATTATGTAATAAAAATATCATTTTTATTGTTAGCTATTATTTAATTTATTATTTAATTTTTATTAATTAATTTTCTTTATTAATTTTATTTTTTGTTTCATTGCTTTTTTTTAATTATTTTATTTTTGTGATTTATTATTTAATTTATTATTTATTTAAATTTATCGATAATTAATTAATATTATTAATTTATTATTATTTAATTTAATTACTATTATTAAATTTGTTAATATAGATTGATTTTGAGTATTTCACAATATTTTAAAACATCGGACATATTAATTCCTTTGCTTTAAGTTTTAAGAACTAATTTGAGAACTTTAAATTTTGTTGGTCGCCGTTTTAGAGCCGCCATTTTGAATTTTGAATTTTTGATTAAATATTTGGATTTAGAGACCTCAAACCAACTATTCGAATTCAGCGCCCCCAAAAACCCCCAAGTAAATATTTTTAGTCGAATCCGTAAACTTTTAAATTTTTTTGTAGCCGCCATTTTGAATTTAAAATTTTTGACTAAATATTTGGATTTAGAGACCTCAAAAACCCACGAATGAGCATTTTTAGCCAAATTCGTAAACTTAAAAAAATTTTTGGTCGCCATTTCGAAGCCTCCATTTTGAATTTAAAATTTTCAATAACGGATTTGGATTCAGGGACCCCAAAAACCTCCGAGTAGGCATTTTTAGCAAGATTCGTTAACTTTTATATATCCTTTTTTTCGATGCCGCTATAGCGGTCATACACACTGGGGCACGAATTATTTTTGCCTCTATAGACGTCAAACACTGTGAAGGGGTTAATATCGACACTGATAAAAATGGCAAGTCACGCAAAATTAATAGGACGGACAAAGAAATAAAGAAGAAAAAAAGGTTGCAAATAAGGTATTTATAGCGTCGATTCGTTTTCGTCAGATTTTTTGAAATTTTACTTGATTAATTCCTTAGATAATTAACTTCAAAATAAGACTTTTCAAATAAATTTAACCATCTCTAAATCTCAAAAATTTAAATCAAAGATTCTATATTTTACACGTATGGAATAGGAAAACCATGTATTGATTACAGATTTTTAATTTTTGCACCTATACTAATCGGCAGATTTTGAAAAAAAACTAATGTTTTATTTATTGAACTAAAGTAAACTTTTATAAAAAAAATGAAAATTTTTACCACATCTTTTAAAAGATATTTAATGTCAAACTTAATAAATTTACATTTGCTGTAAATGAGAGGAGAATTTGTAAACATGGTTAGTACAGCTCTCTTTAAATACTAGAGCTCGTCTGCTACTTTTGGCACGAAATTTTAAATAGAGAAAGAAGGCGCCATATATCAAAATTTGTGACTTTGTCAAAATCGTTTTCCATATCATTCCTGACCGGACCGGCACATAGTAGGAAGAAATGCAGTGTTATGGACAAACAACCTTCAAAAATCAGATTCATTCAAACAGTGAGAGAAAGTAACCTATATGCATTTGCAGTAAAAAAATAATGCATTCAAGTATGATTAAAATATTTTTTCCGAGCGTGTAACAAAATCTACATTATATTTTAGTCAAAATACTTGTTACAAAACTTCTTGAGTAACTAATGACTCTAAATACTTCTAGATAATTATTGCTAAGTAACAAATATTATTTTCAAATTTAGCTGACATTTTGAAACTGCCATTTAGAATTTTAACATTGTGACATTATATTTGTCGCCATAACGTTAAAGGGTTATACTTTCGAACGCGTGTATATAATTTCTCAATTCAAATGAAATAAATTGTGTTGTTGGGTAACTATTTTGTACAAAAATGTATTGTTCATGTGAGAAATTTTAGTTAACCCTTAAAGCGCACCCTGGGTGTTATGTTCCGTGAGTGACATTAGTCTCCAAATTTTATGAAGTTAAAGGCGAAAAATTTCTGGGTGGCTAACACCCAGTTTTCGGTTTAAGGTAATTTCAGTTGTTTTAAAAAACTTTTCTTTAATTATAAAGATTAAATAAATCATTATGAAACTTATTTTCCTTCAAAATTGATGTACTGAGCTACATAAGATAATTTTTCTAAAAGACAATATATCCTATTCCAGCTTGAAGAACACATTTTTAAGTCCCCGGGTGTCGCACGCCCAGTGTGCGGTTTGAGGATGGATTCGTAAGTGTGGGCTTTAAGGGTTAAAAGATTAAATTATATTAGAATAAATTTTTTTACCTTATTGAAAACCTCTTGGAGTCTGTCTTTATCGAGAAGATCACAGTTGTAAAATTTGACTTTCTTTCCCGTTATTTTTTCAACTCTTTTCAAAGCCGCCGATTGCCCATCTCCTTCATTTACACTATTTGTAAAGTTGTCAATTGATATTACATCGTATCCTTTTTCCAAAAGCTCAATAATACAGTGGCTACCAATATAACCGGCACCTCCAGTTACGAAAATCGTTTTCCATTCTGTATTTGCCATTCTAAAGTATGAATTATTTTAATATGAATTAATTTTTTATATTTTTTGGTTACATATAAATAGTGTTTTTTACACTTTTATACTTATTAAACAGTGTTTTTTATATTTTCACCAAAAGTAATTGGTTTAGTTTTTTAAAGTATATATGTGAAAAATTAATTGACTGCGCTCGAAAATTCTGTAGAGCATAGTGTGCGTTGTGCGTTTCTTCACAAGGTAAATGCCAGTTGGTCATCTGTTTCCACTTGTGTTAGTTTCAAATGAGAATATGCTATTCCTTTTTGAAAAAAATAGTGTTAATATATATTTGTCTTCAAGAATGTGGTATATAAGAACAATTCGATTTGTACTTTTAAGTTTTAAGTGTATATTTATATTTTAGTTATATGTGAATACATTTGTATTATACGTTAGTTCATATTTTTTGATAAACGCTATTTCAGATTTAGAGAGGCACATGCAATAAGGGGACGAACAGTGGTGACAGGGTAACAAAGACATGTAACAAAGTTACATGGTTAAGAGCGAGCTGTTACTCTTTTAAGAAGTAACTGCTACTGAAAAGAAAATAATGATGATCGCTTATTTCGGTTAACTGCTAACTTATCTAATCCGAATTTTCTAGCCCCCACAGCACCGAAACTTTCCTAAAAATTTATTAAATATTTACTTGCAATATTCGGAATATTTAATTGCAATGTTTATTGAAAGTTGTGTACAGATTTAAATGTCCCGATTAAATAAATGTTTAGCGCGAAGCTTTCCTGCACATTTCAATAAAATCTTCGCATAATTATAATTATAATTATGCGAAGATGTAATTTCATGTTCAGGAAATGTTCAGGAAAGTTTCGCGCTAAACATTTATTTAATCGGGACATTTAAATCTTTACACAATTTTCACTAAACTTTTCAGTTAAATATGACGAATATTGCAAGTAAATATTTAATAAATTTTTAGGAAAGTTTCGGTGCTGTGGGGGAACCAGTACCCTTACAACTCTTTACTTTACAGTCAGGTCTCCAAACTGTAACATTTTAAACTGCGATAAACTTCGACCTGCACTGAAAGAAGTTTGGGCAGTCTAACTCGATCTGTTCTCTGTTCAGTGCGCAAGTCCCTTGCGCAGCTGTTACCTGGCTCAAGTAGGTGACTCTGAATTGTGTGAAATTAAGTTATACAATACGGAGGTTCAATTGGGAGTTTATTGTATCGTAATGGAGGGGGTAGGCTACTTCTCCTCGCGGGACGGAATCGATGATCGACCTTACGGACGTTCACCTTTAAAGTAAGAAAAGCGAGTTCAAGGTCGTGACAAGTCGCCTGTTTAAGATCGTTTAATTATTTTGCTTTTAATACATTTTTTAAGACATTTACAATTATTTGATTAACAATTAATTTCTAGTTAATTATTTTTTTAAATTTAAGTTAAGTTCTTTTCTAGTTAAGAAAAAACAAGGTTTACTCTTTAGTTATTGGACTAACTAATAAAAGAACATAACGGTACAATTCAAAAATTCTTTGTGCAACTTGAGGAAACGATTCCCGTAGTTATTCTTATCATTAGCGCAGTCGCCTAATGAATAATATGAATAAAAACTAATTTTTCTCTAGTAAAAGATACAAATATCAATATTATATTAATAATATATTATTATCAATACTATTACTACTGTAACAATTATAATTACAAATTAAGGGGGGGGGGTATAGTTAATTCGGTGAAAAAAACGCATGTTTTTAAGAATTTTTTTTGGCGATACGCAGAAAGTTAATTTATTTTATCGCTTTGCATATAATACTGCAACATTTGAACAATATTTTTCTAAATTTTAATTTAAAAATATTAAGAACTGAGCAAGATTCTAACATTTTCCTCAGGCGCCTCCAAAAATTTGCGGTGTTCACTCTAACTCGCAACAGAATCATCCAAAACAAAAAAATCAAAGTGCATTTGTTAAAGGAGATGTTTTTTGAGGTAACATCAGAAGCCATTATTTTTTTATTAAAAAATTACCAATTTTACAATAACAAATTAATCGATTTTTTACAGTGAAAATCGACTTTTTGGCTTTCAAGTGCTACGGAAAATCGAAAAGTAAAAAAACAAAAAAATCCCTTCCGATAATACCTCAAAAAACATCTCCTTTAACAAATGCATTTTGATTTTTTTGTTTTGGATGATTCTGTTGCGAGTTAGAGTGTACACCGCAAATCATTTTTTTTTTGACGCGGCTGAGAAAAATCTCATTATCTCGCTCAATTTTTAATATTTTTAAATCAAAATTTAAAAAAAATATTGTTCAAATGTTGCAATGTTATATGCAAAGTGATAAAATAAATTAACTTTCTGCGTATCGCTAAAAAAAATTCTAAAAACATGCGTTTTTTCACCGAATTAACTATACCCCCCCCCCTTAATAATATCAATACACATCTTATTTTAATGTACAAATTTATAATATCTATTAATATCCATAAAATTATTTTCTTTTTGACATTTTTTTAATTTTCCCCTTAAATTTTATTTCTTAAAAATATAATGTTTAAATTATTTATGCGTGGCGAGAAATGTGAAATGCTAAAAGGTCATATTTCAGAAAGCGATTAATTTCATAAATGTATTTATATTATTTGGTTAGTAATAACATCGCCGCCAATTTTTATTAGATACTGTTACTATTTAGTTAGTAACTCCAGCCATTTAGTTAGTAATGTAACTTATTAAATAGGTAGACCAACAAAAAGTAGTTGAATGAACTAATAAAATAGCTGGGTTTACTAATAACAATGGAAACACCAACCAATAGTTTATGAGCTAAAAATAATCTTGGAAAAAATGGTTACCACAACTATTCTTTTCTCTCAGTGTATATTAAAAAAATATTTATATATTATTAAATGTCTAATTGTTAATTTATTTTATTTTCTCGCAATACACTTTCGTGTCATATTTCACTGATATTAATTTGTTTTTAGTATTTTACGTGTTTTTGAACTTTTAAATTTTTAGATATTTGTTTTGCATTTTTTAAATTTCTAATGACATTTTTTTTCCAGAATAAACTAATTGATAAAATTGACACACCTGTTGATGGAATTGATGTCGATGTCGAAAAGAAGAAATTGATTTGAAACACTTTCAATTAGAGTGAGACAATAGTTTAGTTTAATGGAAACTGAAAATTCCAAAAGTTATTCAGCCTTCTGGTTTCGTCGCTGGAAACGAATTGATGGTGCATCGTTGTCAAGACTGACGCTGTTGAAGCTTCCCTGGCTCCCCTCCATCCTGGTTTGACCTAATATCCTTATTTTAACCTTCACCAATCTCTAAGAATCTCAGTGGGTATTAGTCTTTATTCAAGGACTTCTTCAGTACTCTTAAAAAAGATAATAATTCAAAAGGTCCATTAATTTTAATTCAAAAACTAGTATTCTTAAAACTTCTTAATTTTTTCAATTAAAAGAATCTCCTTTTCTTCTTAAAAGTTGAAATTTCAAACTGACTGATTATCTTCTTGAATTTTTTTAACTCCGGTAAAGTTTAGTTTTATATATTTGTTTGATGTCAATAATACCATTTGCATTAAACAAGAGAAAATATAGCATCTAATTCAATTTCTTTTTAAATTTTTTAAATAAAAGAATTTTATACGAATGAAAGGAAACGAAGCAGAAGATTTAAATTTTACAAATTTCAAAATTACTGTCAACTTTTGTTTAGTCGTAAATAAAGATCTTTTTCTTCACTAACGGGAAATAAATACATTTTTCTGAAAAATTGCTTGAGAAAAGAATAAATTTCATAACATCTTTTATTACGTTTCTTTGTTAACAACAATCGAATGTACGAAATTTAAATAAAATATGAGCTCAATTCATATATGAAAAGATTATTTTTAACTTTCATTTTCTCTAGTATTTTTATTAGCCTTTTTTAGTATTTGGAGCATTCTGCGTGATGCGGAAAATTCAAAACTTCCAAAAGAATTAACTATGTACTTTGAAAATGCTGCAATTTCTATTAAAATTCATGATATGAAGAAAATTACGTCTCATTTTTATATTAAATTATATTGTCCTTAATTTGATTTTAAATGTAGATTAATTTTTATTTCATTTCAAAGAAAGTTTAAAGTTTATTTCTGAAGACCTTCTACCACTTAAAACAGATTTTTGACAATGGCTTAATAGTTATTTACGATACAAGTGCGTATAATCTGATTTACGCATGAGTGTCATACGAAAATTTTTGCAACACCAAAGCAACTAAACTTGCAGCACTATTGACAATACTACTGTGAGTTTATGTGAATGAAGAATTCTAGAAGCTAAAATTAAAAAATATGAATATAAATTGTTCTTTAATTGTTTTACTAGCCGAGCTTTTTGTGTATATAAAAATGTGACTAAGACTTTAAGATGTTTTTTTCTTCTGCGGAAATATTAGAAAAGATTACAAATTTTTTTGAAGAATATTAAAAACATATACCACGAAAACCAAAAATTAAATTTAACATACTGTGCAGTTTCACGACATAAATATAATAATATTTTTTTTTCACCTAAAATGAGTCAAAATTGTGCTAACGCAGTTTTATCTGCAATCGGTCCAAGATTCCAAATTTTAATTTCCGAAAATCGTAGCTGATTCTTTTTTCGAAAAAAACCAAAAAAACATATAATATGGGGAAATCCATAAAACTTTTGACTTTTAAGAAATTTTTTTTTTATTAATTTGTATGCACATAGATGTCACTTTGCATACGTGTTCAAGAATGTTTTAGCACCACAAATTCGTATGCGTGATTCATTTTTAACCCATGCCCCCAATGTTTAACACTTATTATTAATCCCTTCCGGAACTGAAATATTATAAAGTGAACAAAAAATGTGTAAGACCTTCCCATCAATTAAATCAGTTGAAACTTTTTACTCGGAGGTTTTTGGGGTCGCCGCTGGATAATCTGAAGTCGGTTTTTCAAAATTCAAAATGGCGGCTCCATTATGACGGATGACAAATTTAAATAGTTGGATTTGATTGAAACTCGTTACTCGGGGGTCTTTGGGGTTGCTGATTACAAATTTAAAGTTTAAATATAAATTTTTTTTATTTTTTTTATTGTTTATACTCCAGCCCTATTGGCTTTACGCACTTCGACAAGAGTCCCCGAGAAATACTTTTTTGGATTAAGCATAACCATTCTACTTATGGAATTTTTTCTATATATTAACCTAATTTTGCGTCTACAGCCGACTTTATTAGGAGTACTCGCATTCGCCTGGACCACCCATCAATGGGTTTTCTCGCCAGAGAAGAGGGAAACTGTAGAAAACCTCTCCTGAGTACAACCGGTTTATCGACAGTCGAGTTCTAATTGTGTGTACCGGACAATAATCGACGGTCAAATTTGTCCAGTGGCGGATCCAGACAAGGTTTTTTTGGGGGGGCCATCCATTAAAAAAAATCAATATAATGTTATCTCTTTCTATCTCATAGGAATATTTGACTCTTGGGGGAGCAAGCACCCGTGCCCCCCTGAATCCGCCACTGAATTTGTCTGCGTATTGGAATCTGAAATCACGTGAAACGACCTATCGCTGTACCTGCTTTCGGAAACTCATTTTCGCAATTACTAATTTTTTGAAAACCAATTACTAATATAATTAACTAGTCCCAGGGACACCCCAAGCATACTAAATCTGGTCTTGTGATGTATGTCTGTCTGTCTATACAATCTTGCATTCTTATTGAATGGAATATTATTATTATTTAATTCGCTCTGAGGTTTTCGGAACTAATCAGCAATTTAAACTATTAAATTCAAATTTAAATTTAAAATGATTAATTGAACTTTTTGATTTTTAAGAATTCAACTTCTAAAATTTTAAGCATATTCTTAACTTAATAAAATTGATAGTTTTCAAAATCCTTGAGCGGCATACTTTTTTTTGAATATCTGTAAGGCAATGCTTCGATCACACTATACACAGACTTGTTTAAAGTAAAATTGTAGTTGTGCCTTTCAAAAATGTATAAATTTAAATAAAATCACAATTTGTAATAACATCTTTAAATTCTTTCTACAGGAATACAAATATAGGCACACTAATGAAAAAGGTCTTAAAATGTTGGATTTTTTATTGTCTATTTAGAAACTTATTGAACTTTTATTTTCATAAGAAGACGTTTAATTAAATTTTCTTAAAAAGTGTCATCATTCAATCAAACCTTCATATATTTTCTTACAGTCGTAGAACACTAATGGGATAGTGAAAAAAGTTTGAAAACATACGTCTTTTAGCTATTTTCCTTGTAGCTGAATTAATATTTCACACGCCGCAAAAATAAAAACGTTAAAAATGTATACTTTTCTGAGAGTTTCAAATGAAATTTAAGCGTTTTTTCAATTTTAAACTCATAAAATTAATTGACAAATTAATATTTTGTTCTAATACTGTACATAAATGTTGCTTAGTATATAATTTAGGAAAATATGATTAAACAATAAGTTTCAATCTAAAATAATACGGACTTTTAAGTGTTCGATTCGAGTATCATAAAAGTTAACAGTTTCGTGGATTTGCCCATATACATATATGTGACTGTCCGCGACAAAAGGGACCTTAGCTCCATGTAAATACATGGGAGCTAAGGTCCCTTTTGTCGCGGACAGTCACATATGGGCAATTCCACGTGAGATTTTAGTCAACCTCTTAAAATCGACCAAAAATATTTTTTTGTATTCTGCATCGAAAAAACGGGACGCATGATTATTCCCCAAATGCTATTTTTCCGAAATGTCATTTTACCGAACTGCACTTTTGCGAATAGTCATTTTTGCGAAAAGCCATTTTTGCGAAATGTCATTTTTACGAATAGTCATTTTTGCGAAAAGCCATTTTTGCGAAATGTCATTTTTACGAATAGTCATTTTTGCGAAAAGCCATTTTTGCGAATTGTCATTTTTGCGAATCGCCATTTTTACGAATTGTCACTTTTGCGAATTGACATTTTTACGAATCGCCATTTTTACGAATTGTCACTTTTGCGAATCGACATTTTTACGAAATGTCATTTTTGCGAATAGCCATTTTTGCGAAAAGTAATTTTTACGAATTGTCGTTTTTGCGAATTGTCATTTTTGCGAAATTTCATTTTTCAGAAATGTCATTTATGCGAATTGTCACTTTTGCGAATCGCCATTTTTACGAATTGTCACTTTTCCGAAAAGTCATTTTTGCGAATTGTCATTTTTGCGAAAAATACAATAGTAAACTTGTAGGTATATATAGATTCACTATTGTATTTTTCGCAAAAATGACAATTCGCAAAAAAGACTTTTCGGAAAAGTGACAATTCGTAAAAATGGCGATTCGCAAAAGTGACAATTCGCATAAATGACATTTCTGAAAAATGAAATTTCGCAAAAATGACAATTCGCAAAAATAGTTTTTCGCAAAAATGACAATTCGCAAAAACGACAATTCGTAAAAATTACTTTTCGCAAAAATGGCTATTCGCAAAAATGACATTTCGTAAAAATGTCGATTCGCAAAAGTGACAATTCGTAAAAATGGCAATTCGTAAAAATGGCGATTCGCAAAAATGACAATTCGCAAAAATGAAAATTCGTAATAATGATTTTTCGCAACAATTACTATTCGCAAAAATGGCTTTTCGCAAAAATGACTATTCGTAAAAATGACATTTCGCAAAAATGGCTTTTCGCAAAAATGACTATTCGCAAAAGTGCAGTTCGGTAAAATGACATTTCGGAAAAATGACATTTGGGGAATAATCATGCGTCCCCGAAAAAACAGATACGTATTTTTTCATTTTTGTTTAATTGTCCAAATTTTCGAGTTATGAATTTTCGAGATTTTGGACTTGTAGTAGTTTATAGTTTATAGTAGTTTATAAGTCCGAAAATATTGAGTTTAGGAAAAAGTTGTCAAAGAATGAAAGTTTTAGTTTTCTTTTGACTTTTAAGAAATGAAAACAAAAAATTTTTTTTTAAATTTTTTATTAACCCCTTTGCAGTCAAGACCAAAATCTCATAAGTGGGCTCAAAATGTCGACAACTTTCTAGAAAACTAAAATTTGCGCAAACGAGCATACTATTGTATTTGAAGTCGTTGATTACGAATCCGACACCAGATTTTGAAAATTCAAAATGGCGGATCCAATATGGCGGGCATGAAAATTAAAAATCGACTAAA